ATATACCCAGAATATTAACGGGGCGAAAAAGCAACCACTGTTAAAAAACAGAATTACAACAAATCTAGTTTTATAGGTCTCAGTTGGCCTTAACTGCAATTCTATGACCGGGCAGCAGTCTAGACCAACAGTGATTCAGAATGCTTCACCCCACCATGTGTGCACTATTTATAGTAAGAGAAAGATAAGTGACACACAGAAACAGCCTTATTGGCTGCAGTCAGCATTTGCCTTACTTGGTCATGTTTTGATAGCTTTCAGCCTCTGATTGGCTGGAGGTTCAGTTGCTATGATTGGCTGAAACTTGATTACTTGTTACAAGAGTATATTACCAGGTTAAGTTACAGTCTGTTTACACATCAAGTGGGGTGACATTTCAATACATGTGAAGAAAAAACCTTTAAGCCAAACTTAAACTATGGATGCAACTTTAGGCCAAATTTATTTCAATTTAACACCACAGAATAGGAGAAAATATTTTTAAATCATATATTGGATAATGAATTAATATTGAGAATGTATAGATAATTCTTAAAAATCAACAGTAAAAGACAATTTGGTTTTTTAAATGGGCAAAGAACTTGAATGGATATTTTTTAAAGTATACAAACAGCCCATAAGCAAAAGACAAGATGCTCACTGAACATCACTAATCATTGGGGAAATGCAACTCAAAACCACAAGGAGATACCACCTGACATCCATTAGAACGACTGCAACTCAAAAAAAAGTGAAAGGAAAGAAAGAAAACAGAAAATATAACAAGCATTGGTGAGGATGTGGAGAAATCAAAAAACCTGTGCATTGTTGGAGGGAATGTAAAATGGTGCAGCCTTTGGGGAACGCAGCATAATGGTTTCTCAAATTTTTAAAAATAGAATTACCTAATTTCAGTTTTCCTACATACATTTGGTCATAATATATTGTTCTTTTTAGGTAACGTTGGATTAAATGTGTTGAAATTTTGTTAATATTTCCAAAGATACACATTGGTGAGGAGTTTTCTTGTCCTGTTACGTGTGTCTGATTTTGTATCAGGCTAATAAAGGATTCAGAAGGAGTTTAGAAATGTTTGCCTCTCTGTAAGTATGTCAGAGATTTTGTGTAGCATTTGTATGATTTATTCCTTTAATGTTTGGTAAAATTTATCAGTGAAGATGTCTATGCCTTTAGATAACTCTATGCTTTAGAAAACTTTACAGATTTTGGACTACAAATTCAATTTTTTTAATAGAAGTTATTTGTTCCTTTTGTATGAGCTTTGCTACTTTTTGTCTTCAGGAATTTGTCTATTTTATTTAATTAAGTTGTCAGATTCATTAATATTAACACATTCAGAATATTTCCTCATGCTGCCAGTATCCAGATCCTGTTGCTTTCTACTCAGAAACAAAAGACCCAAATGTCGGTGTAAGGCAGGAAGTTTACTGTCAGACATCTGAGGAGGTGGACTAGGACTGCCTCCCTGCTTCAGGGTTTCAGAGTGGTTTAGGGTAGCTGAGGGAATGGAACGTGGGAAATGAAAAGCAGGAGGGAGGCGAATGTGCAAGGGGGCAGGTGCAGTCTCACCAAGACTCGTCTGGCTTCTACTCCTGTCCTTGTTGTTTCGTGGTCCTGCTGGAGGGGTGGAATCGTCATAGCTTAATCAATGTCCTCCTTGATTTCCCAGTGTCTAGATAGTACGTGCAAGTCTGCAGCTCCAGACTGGCTGGAAAGCAACTTTACATTTATGTAAATAATTTCATCTTGACCCATAACCAAGGTTCAAAATATCATGACCATGGGAAAAGAGGTAACTCAGAGAAATTAATGCCAAAACAAACAAACAAACAAACAAATCCATGTCCTTTTAAAATTTTAGAGCCCATGCGGTTTTAGGTCATGTTGGCTGGCCTGGAGCTCAAGGCCACCATGTCACTAGAGCCATGTTGTCTGGCCGGGAGCTGGAAGCCACAAGGAAGGCCTGGTTGCTGGGAATGTGAGGGAGGCCTGGCACTGGGGTGGGCCTAAAGCCTGATACTGGGGTGGGCATGGAGGCCGGGTTCTTGGAACCAGCCTGATGACTAGGGCTATAGGGGTCAGCCTGGTGCTGGGGCATACACAAAGCCTGGGACCATGGGAGCTAGGCTGGTACTAGGGCCAAACTGGTGACTGGGCTCCCTGCAGCTGGCCGGGCCATAGACTGGGCCTGAAGCCCCAGATACCATTCTGGAATCTGGCGTTGTTTGGGCCTGCTTGGCCCTGAGTTTACTTGGGTAGGCTTGGTTTTGGGACTCAAGGCACAGTCTGGTACTCACTTGCCCCTCCTTCCTCCACTTGCAGGGCACCTCAGAACTGTGCTGCCTGGGGTTAAGGGAGAGGTGACAAAGATAATGTGAAGCTGCCCTTCCTGCCCTCTCCAACTCACCTTTTCTTATTTCTGTACTACACTAAAATGCCATAATCTCTTGCCTGCTTTCCTGAGCTCTTATAAAGGTATTTTCATATGTGAATAGTTGTTCAAAATTGATGTTTCTATGGTGGGACAAGTGCTGAAAGTCCTACTTCCCCATCTTGCCAACATTATACTCCCACGATCACATTTTGACTTGTCGTGGTCATCCTTGTAAGACTGGAATCAATCTGCTTAATGAGCTGCACCAAAATCCAAACAACCAAAGTTATTTCTCAAATCATTGCCACACCAGATACAGTAGCACACCCACCACCATAGACTGAGCACAAACTGGAAGAATACTTTCCTAATGCAGAGGCTGTCACTATAATTATTCAAACAGAAACATGAAAAACACAATAATTTTTAAAAAGCAGAGCAGAATTTCAAGAGACTGTGGAAAAATATAAAATGATCTACATACAATCTGAGTCACAGGGTAAGAGAGGACAGAAAATTTGGAAGGGAAAATATTTGAAGACAAATATTTGGGGGTTTTCTAAAATGGATGAAGTATATAAACTCACAGACCCAGAAAACTCAAGTCCTGGGAATGATCAGTATAAATACATAGCTGAGCACATTGTGGTCAAACTGCTGATATCCAGAGATAAGACATCAAATTAATAAGTCGAACTGTTAAAAGGAGAGAAAAGAACGATGGTTCCCAGGAGCAGGAAAGGGGAGGGGATTGTAACGATAGTGAAAGACTAATTAATGGACATAAAAGTACAGCAGGATAGGAAAAATAAGCCCTATTGGTGTACAGTTGACCCAGAAATCTATAACCAATGATGACTTACTGCATGTAAACAAATGACTAGCAGAGAGGAGGTCACACGTGCACATCACAAAGAAAGGATTAAGCTTTGCAGTGATGAATAAGCTAATTACCCTGAATAGATCAACACACATGGTATCCATGTCTTGAAGTGTAACTCTGTACCCCATGAATATGTACAATAAATACATTTCAACAAAAATTTTTAAAAAGCTATAAAATATTTGAAACGCTATTATCCGACTTGATCTGATTGATATTTATCAGACAGTGTAACTTGCCCAACTAAATAATCTCCATTCTAGGGCTGGCCCATGGCTCACTCGGGAGAGTGTGGTGCTGATAACACCAAGGCCACGGGTTCGGATCCCTATTATAGGGATGGCCGGTTGGCTCACTTGGGAGAGTGTGGTGCTGACAACACCAAGTCAAGGGTTAAGATCCCCTTACCGGTCATCTTTAAAAGAAAAAAAAAAAAAAAAAAACTCCATTCTTTCAAAGGTTACACGGAACATTCACTATAATGGCCCAATGAGTATTCATTCAGTGAACTAGAATGGCTTGAATAATTCAGAATATAACTTACGACCACAATGAAATTAGGTATGAAAAAGAAAAAAGTAATTAGAATACACTAAAATGTATGGAATTTAAATAAGACACTACTAAATGCGTGGAGGCACAGAAGAAATCACAGTGAAATTTAAAAATATTTTGAACTTAATGAAAATAATGTATATACCAAAATAAGATATACACAATACAATACATAAAAATTTAGTGATAAAGCAGTGCATAAATAGAAATTTATAGTTTTAAATGCATATTAATATTAATAAAGTTTAAAATGAATACGATAAGCTTCCATTCTCAGAAGCTAGAACAAATTATACACACAAAGTAGAAAAAGTGTAAAGAAAATGAACACATGAACAAAAAACAAAATAGAAAACAAATATATAATGGAAAAAAATCAAGAAAGCCAAAACAGTTCTTTTACAAGATAATAAAAATAATAAACTCCTACAACTACTGACCATGAATAAAGAGGAAAAAACAAACATTATTAATATTGAGAAGGACATCTGTACAAGCACCGCATACTATAAAAAGATGACAAAGGAGGGGCGGGTAAGATGAACAACTTTTGGTGTGAGTACAGATTAGTACCGAATCTTAGAAAATGCCCCCGCAGGCCGCGGCCCCGCCCCCACCGCGGGCAACGGCCCCGCCCCCCTCAGGCCGCAGCAAGGGTGGAGGCCCCGGGTTCACGTGGCTGCCTCAGGATCAGGGGTGCAGATCCTGCTCGGCATTTTAGATGATGGTGAAGGGTGAGACACAACTTCTGGGCTCTAGTTGGAGGCACCAAAGGACAGGGGTTTACCTGTCCTGAGGGCTGGGGTCTGTGGCCAGGGTTACCAGATCCTTCCACAGGATAATATTCCCAATGCAGTACACCTGCTTTTCCTTTAAAACTTGTAATTCTAGAAAGAAATGGGAATTGAGGGTATTTGAAAAATAATAAAAATGACAGGTGGCATACAGAAAGACTGTGGATTTAGGAAGGGCAAGAATGAGGGAAGCTGTGAGGTGAGGGGTACTGCAGTAGTAAAACACTTTGCACCTTGCAGATTCTGAAAGGCTACATGTACAAATCACAGTTCCGGAGAAAATAGTAAAAATGACAGGTGGCATACAGAAAGTAGACTGTGGATTTAGGAAGGGCAAGAATGAGGGAAGCTGTGAGGTGAGGGGTAGTGCAGTAGTACACTTTGCACCTTGCAGATTCTGAAAGGCTACATGTACAAATCACAGTTCCGGAGAAAATACGGTCAATAGCAAGTGGAGGACGTGAATCACATGTAAGTAATAAGTGACGTTATTCACATTTTTAAAATGATGTGACTATTTTTTTCCTTTTTAAAAAATTGAAACATAATTGATTGGCCATATCTGTGGAGTACAGCATTGAATATCAATATCTGTGTGCAATATGTGTTGCTAAAATCAGGATAATAGGAATATTTGACATTATACAAAGTAATCATTTTTTGTAGCTCTTTACCAATTTCTCACTTTTGTTCCTAACAGTTTTACCTGCCATTTTTAATTCATGTGCATTTGCCGAATTTTATTTTTATACTTCATTTTTCTTCAGGGGAAAAGCCCTTTTGAAAATAAGCCAAGATTAACAATATTACATAGAAATAATGGTACAATCGTGCTGGATATCCAAGCCTTAAGTCCCACCTTCTAAACCTGTTTCCCTTTTGAGTGTCTTTGAGTAATCAGCAGCTTGATCCCTCTAATGATTGTTTTCTCACTCATCCACCAGGGTATATTTGGAGGATTTTTTGTTGTTAAGTAAGCCTATGGCTTCCTTACATGGGATGGTGATCATTTGATTTAATGATGTGTTATATTACTGATTTTTTCATCTTGATATGTTAATGATTAATAGTGTTCTTTTTATGCTGTTCTAGTTCATCTTAGTTCAGGATTATTGTCCCTCTTTTTTCTTTGAATTAGAATGCTTCTTATTGTTTTTACTAAGTTCTATAATTATTTCTGAAGAACTAAAATGTGTCTCTTGAAACATCATGTTACTTTCCCTTTAATTTGAGTGCAAGTATGTCCTTAGCAGCTATCCACTTGTCACACTAATACAGAGATTGTAGCCTAAAAATTTTGATATATAATTCTTCAAAGAAATGCATATCTGTTTATTAAACTTTAGTTATTTAAGTTAAAAAGCAGGAGGCTTTTACCAGTATTTTCAGAAAATTTTATTCTTTTAATGCAAAACTATTATGGAGATACTAGTCATATCAGAAAATAAACACAGAATCTATTTAGAGTAAAATATCTTCAAACAGGAATCACCAAATTCTTATAAGACATGAAAAAATTTACACTTATTGATTCAACAATACTGCAAACATAATATGAAACAATGTATGTTTAAATTATAGTGAATAAAGAATATACATCATAAAAAAATACTCATCTTGAAAACTATAAGATTTTAAAAATTAACTGAATGAACTTACTAAAGTGAAAAATATAGTATGGTGAGAGTATAAAGGTCAAGAATCAACAGTAGATCAAAGACAGATGAAGAGTCTAAATTATGCGACATATGAAATACTAAGGAAAAAGGAGGATAGAATTAGAAGCTTAAGTGTAGAATAGTTGGCATTCATAAAGGAGGAGAGATAAGCTGAAGATGAGGTTATGTGAAAAATATATTAACTGAGAAATAAAAAAACCAGATTCCTCAATTCAGGTATCACAAACACAAAGCAGAATAAATAAAAGTCAAGTAACACCTTGACATATCAGTGAAACACAGAATACTAAATCAAATAAAATGTCTTAAAGACAGTCATGAACAAAGAAAGAATAGCTACACTGAAATAGTACTTACAGCAGACCTGTCAAAATCAATAATAGGAATAAGAAAATACTGAAATAAAAGCTTTAATTTTCTGATTTTAAATATATTTAAGTATAGAATCAAATGAAATTTCCTTCAAAAATCATAATATATTAATAAATTATAAAAAATTTATATTAATAAATTCCAGATTAAAAGAGGATAAAATAGTCAATGTAATTCAGCAGGTTGAATTGAATTGAAAGTAGGACAAACAATAACATAAAAGCAGGAATTGGTAACAAAGTGGTGAATGTGTATAACTCAAAACCAAACACATTGAATAAAGAATTGTCATAGTAACCATTGAAGAGTAGAAAGGGTGTATAAGCCTAAATTCACCAGGGAATCAAAGTAAAATTTTAAATTTAAATATTAAGTACATTTAATTACTTCAATATATTAGCAAGTAGATATATTACAGATTAGCTTTAGTAATATAAATGTAAGAGATAAACTTCAATCATAAAGAAATAGAAAGTGTGAACACAAGAGTAAGAAAAAGTACACAAAGCAAATAGTAAACAACCAGCTCGGGTAAGTATATTTTACCAGGTGAAAATGGCCTTTAGGGGGGCTGGCCCGGTGGCGCACTGCTACAGTGCGCCGCTTAGGAAGCACAGCGGCGCTCCCGCCGAGGGTTCGGATCCCACATACAGACCTGCCGCTCACTGGCTGAGCGAGGTGTGGGGGCAACATCGAGGGTTGCGATCCCGTTGCCGGTCCCGGTCCGGTACGGGCGCGACACTGAGGGTTGCGATCCGTTGCCGGTCACAAAAAAAGAGACAAAAAGGGGAAAAAAAAAAAAAAGTCCTTTAGGGCAAAATACAATAAACGTATAAAAGACTGTTAATAGAATTAAAAAAGTGGGTATAGTGAGATATAGAGAAGAATTTTTTTTTAAATGAATGATATATTAAGTGAATATGCCAATAAATTTGAAAAGGAGAAAAGCAACTTCATAGAAAAACACATGCAGAATAGAGCACTATTAAAATGTCCAATACTTAAAAAATTTTGAAGCTGTATTTTAAAAGTATCTTCGCACTCCTCAAAACTACAGAAACAACAAATAAAACTAAGAAAAGCATGAGCTAAGTAGTTTTACAAAAAAATACAACCAAACATTCAAGGACAATATCATTATGATCTTATAAAAACTCTTCCAGGGAAAAGAAAAACATATGATACTGCCAAACACATAAGAGCAATATAACCTTGATACCAAAAACAAGCAAAGGCAATATACGAAAGAAAATTTGAGGCCAAATTCACTCATGAACATATCTGGCAAACATAAAAAAATATAATCTTAGCAAATCTAATATGACGAAATATTTTAAAAAGCTAATGACATAATACAATTTACAGCAAAATTGCTAAAAATGATTGAATCTTGGACTATCAATGAATTAACTATTTTAAAAATTTATATGAGGAAATGAATATACACATAGTAATAGAAGCAGAAAAATCATTGGTTAAAGTTAAATGCAATATATCATTAAAAAAAAAAAAAAAACAACTAAGCAATAGAAGAATATAACTTGATCCTCCCCAAAACTACAACATACTTCATACCTAACAACAGTAAAACATAAGAAGAATTTCTTTTACAATTATGAATGAAAGAGAGATGGCTGTTATCACCTTTTGTATTCAACATTATAATGGAAATTCTAACAGGAGTAAGATGGAAAAAAAAAGAACAATAGACTTAAAGATGAAAAATAAGGGGAAATATGGGACAAAATTAAGGGGAAAAGGGAAGCACACACATATGCACACATATGTGCATAGTTATACACTTTTGCCTAAATGTGAGTTACTTACCAAAAAAAAAATTTTTTTTTTAAAAAAAGGTAAAGACCTTTTTAAGATATAGTAAAGTTGCATCGAAAAACATTATACAAGTATAATATTATATAAAAGTAAAGAGACTATTTTGATAGTGAAAAATACTCAGTACTTTTAGGTTAATTTTTACCAAACCTATAGATTGACTATGGTTCCAATGAGATATTTTATGAAAATTGGCAGGTCAATTCTAAAATGTATGTAAAATAGTAAAGAGTCAAGCATTGTTTATTTTCAAGAATAAAAGAGTGACTCACCCCAGTTCATGTCAAAGCATATTTTAAAACTTTTGTAATTAATATGATATGGTATCGGTGCAAGGACTGACAAACTAGTGGAACAGGATAGAGTGCCCTCAAGTACCCACACACAGTAAATGAAATCGACCTGTACAGACTAAATTGTCAATTTGTCAGGCACCATTTCTTGAACTTTGCATTAATGAAATAGATCAATAGGTATTTTATTTAAATTTGGAACACATTTTGTAAAACCTATAAACATTAAACATTATGTGCTATTAATTCTTTGCTCTATTATATATATTTTTATTGAGTAATTTAGTTATATACTATCCATTTTATACATAAGTTTTGCAGTGGTCTCAATCTTTATTAAGCTAACACAATAATTGGATGAAAAATAGATATTTTTCAGATTTTATTTTATTAGGTACATTGAAAAATTAAGAAATAAGAAATCCCACACATACTCTTATATCCATTTTTTATTATGGAAGCTAATGTTATAATATCAAATTGCATTGAAACAGGGTTAAGGTTAGGGTTAGGGTTAGGGTTAGTCAACACTGAATTCTAAATTTTTCTTTTTATTTTATTAGTGTAATTTAGAATGTGATTATTGTTAATGTAAAATGATGGTTGTCCTTTCTAACATTTTTCTTATTATTTTTGCCTTTTTAATATACTTTCTTGCCAGGTGTCCTACAACATTGTAATTGAAGGGAAAACATATACTGTGAACCTAATGCGAACGTAGGTGATCTTCCTTATTTTGTCAGCTGTCTTTGTTCTATTTATGATTATTGTTTGTAATTACCCAGAATGTTACTATTTTGCATTTGAAAGTGTTTCTAGTTACTGGCTGTTCATTTGTCTTTTATTTTATGCTTTTAGAAGCATTTTAAATCTATATAATAAATATCTAGTACTTGAATTCATGGTGTATGCTCGCATGTTTCTCATTTTCTGACCTTTTCTTTACTTGTATTTTTACAATGATGGTATTTTGGTAAAGAGAAATTTTCCATTATGGTAAAGTTATATTATTTTGTATAAGTAATCCTTTCTTACTAGAAGGCCATGACTAAATCTTATATAATCCTTTCAAATAGTCTTAGTTTTGTCTTCTCATTTGGGTCTTATTCTTTCAGAAATTGGCTTTTGAATATGCCATAGATTTTCTGTATGATTTCTCAAATGTCTCAACAACTCTATTGACTCTTTTATCCTTTCAATACATATCTTCTTGTTATGAATACCAGATAACACATTGGTTGTATCTGTTTCTGGACTCCCTATTTTTGGGGTCTACCTGTCTCTTTATAATAAATCTTGGTTGCTTAAAATAAGTTCCTTTCACCTTTTTCTTCACAATGAATACTTTTCCTTTTCTTAATACTATTCATTTTCACATACTTTATAGTCAAATCTTCCAGTGTCTGGCAGTATTGTGATTTCCTCGAATCTACACAGCACTTCCGGAAGAACTGATCACTTTACAACATTATCTTTTTCTGTGTATGCACATGGTATATCTGGCCATTTATTTATTCTTTAACACTACCCAATATATTTTCAGAATGTTCTCCTTAAAGATCTTGCACATTTATTGATATTATCTTTTGAGCATTTGATACCTTTGATGCTAGTAAAAATGTAACATTTTAAAACCTTCATATTCTAAATGTGTTTCTTGCAATACAAAAATACAACTGATTTTTATATATTAAATATGTACAAAGAAGACATTAAATTTTCTAGAAAAGTGTAATAATTTGTTTTTAGAAATATCATACATTTATAATCATCTCATCATCTAATAAAAGCAATTGTTTATTTCTAATCTGTAGGAGTTTTATTCATTTCTTAATTGCTGAGTATTAAAAACCATCAGTTTAATAATAAATAGAAGTGAGAGGACTGGCTGGTTACCTCAGCTGGTTAGATCGTAGCCTGATAAGACCAAGGTCAAGGGTTTGGATCCCCATGCCAAAAAAATAAATAAATAAAACATAATAATAATGAATAGAAGTGGAGCCAGAGTTCGTTGTTACTTTGTTCACTATCATCATTACATGTGATATATATATATTTTTTCCTTTTTGTCTTATTTACTGACCGGTAACAGGATCGCAACCCTCGGTGTTGCGCCCGCACCGCGCTCAGCCAGTGAGCGGGAACTGGTCTCCACATGGGATCCGAACCCTCGGCGGGAGTGCCGCCGTGCTCCCAAGCGGCGCACTCTCCAGTGCGCCACCGGGCCGGCCCTACATGTGATATTTTGATTGTCACAAAGACATTCTTTCTATTCTTTATTCACTGTTTAATAGTAAATGGATATCAAATTTATGAAACACTCTTCTGACCTTGTTAATGATCATATATTTTATATTAATCTGTTATTATGATAAATTAAATTATTATTTTTTAGTATAAAACTGAGTTTCATTCCAGGAATAAACCCTACTTGTTTTTGACATTATTATTTCATATATTATTTAATTGATTCTATTTTTAATACTTTACTTAGGATTATTTTATCTATGGATTACTTTTATTAGGATTATTTTATAATTAAGACACAGGAATTTATAATTGAAAGAATTTATGAAAGATTTATTACAGTAGTCACACAGATTTATTACAGAAAGAATAAACTGCAACAGTAGGAAAAAGACAGTACAGTGTAATATTCAGGACATCTCATAGTTGTACACGAGGTGCTACGTATCCAAGTCACCAACAACTAATATATGTGTGAGATATCTCATCCTCAGGAAACCCAGCACATAAGCTTAACGATAGGTCTTTTCTTTCCCAAAGATCAAGGACCTAAAACCAGGCTGCATGACTGGGTAAAAATATAGACAGTTAGTCTCTATCTTCTTTATAAACATTGTAGATAAGCTGATTCAGATGCTCAGGAGAGTTTTGACCATAAACAGAATATTATAAATTACTACTGGTACATTTTATTTTTATTTTGGCCAATGATTGTGCCATGACTTCAGGCATCCCTGGAGATAAGCACATGTCTACTGCAGGCTAGCTGCAAGTGAACCATGTCATTATGGCTTGTAATTGTCTTTTCTCAGTCTATCTTTCTACTTCCTATCCCTGGAGAATGGCTTGAAGAGGATCCATTCTTTTTTTAGTCTCTGAAATATTGGATGTTTGGCAATTCTTACCTGGGAAACTAATTGTACCAAGAGTTCCCTTATTTTAAAACTCTCTTGACTACTGATTAAATTTCATTGAAAATTTTATAATTATGCAGATTTCTACTTCTTGAGTCTGTTTTGTAAACAATGATTTTTTTCTAGATATTCCTCCATTTTAATTTAGCATTTTAATTTGTGACACATAGTTGTTCATAGCATCCTCTTATTTTTTCAAAGACTAGGAATTGTTGGGTCATTCCTTTTCTCACATTCTAATTTTATTTATGGCATCTCTTTTTTTTCTTTGGCAAATATCATTGTCACTTTGTCAATTTAATAACATTTCCATAAATTTTTGTTTTGTTGAACATCTGTATGATTTTTGTTTTATTGCTTTGCTTTTAATTTCTGTGTGTTTATTTGATATTTGTTTATAACTTCCTCAAATGAATCCTAAGTTGATTATTCATCCACCATTTTTATTTTATACTATAAGAATTTAAGGCTGACTCTTTTCTTTAAACACTACTTAGCTGTACCTCACATATTTAGATATGTACAATTTTCTTTAGTTCAACATTAGCAAATATTTTGTAATTTATATTATATTTCTTCTTTGGTCCATAAATTATTTCAATGTATTTTATCTCAATACATTTGGCACCTTTTTTGCTTTTTGTTTCTAATATTTTTTGATCACAGAGTATTATCTGATTTCAAGCCTTCAAAGGTCACTGGCTCTTCATTCGTGATGTAATACATATTCAGTTTTTGTACATTTTCCATACTTCTATCAGCATTCTGGTCACCACCAGTTAACCAGTCTCTAAGAAGTTCCAAACTTTCCTTGGAATTGTCTTTTAAACCCTTATCAGAACATAGGCTTTCTCTAGCTTTCTCTTCCAGTTTCTTCCAGCCTCTGCCCGTTACCCTAGCTCCAAAGCTGCTTCCACATTTTCATGTCTTCATTATCAGCAACACCTCACATCTTGGTACTAATTTTCTTTAACTCTACTGAACCCTCTCCTACTTTATAATTTTTTGGTACGTTATAATCCTGTATACTTTTTTTTTTTTTTTTTTTTTTTTTTTTTCCGTGTCCGGCAACGGATTTTGCTTTTTGTTTCTAATATTTTTTGATCACAGAGTATTATCTGATTTCAAGCCTTCAAAGGTCACTGGCTCTTCATTCGTGATGTAATACATATTCAGTTTTTGTACATTTTCCATACTTCTATCAGCATTCTGGTCACCACCAGTTAACCAGTCTCTAAGAAGTTCCAAACTTTCCTTGGAATTGTCTTTTAAACCCTTATCAGAACATAGGCTTTCTCTAGCTTTCTCTTCCAGTTTCTTCCAGCCTCTGCCCGTTACCCTAGCTCCAAAGCTGCTTCCACATTTTCATGTCTTCATTATCAGCAACACCTCACATCTTGGTACTAATTTTCTTTAACTCTACTGAACCCTCTCCTACTTTATAATTTTTTGGTACGTTATAATCCTGTATACTTTTTTTTTTTTTTTTTGTCTTTTTCCGTGTCCGGCAACGGATCGCAACCCTCAGTGTTGCCCCCGTACCGGACCGGGGACCAGCAACGGGATTGCAACCCTCGGCGTTGCTCCCGCGCCTCGCTCAGCCAGCGAGCAGGAACCGGTCTGTATGTGGGATCCGAACCCTCGGGCGGGAGCGCCGCCGCACTTCCCAAGCGGCGCACCATCCAGTGCGCCACCGGGCCAGCCCATAATCCTGTATACTTTTAAACCCCGATAATATAGGTACTAATTTTGTACAGTTAATATTTGTTAAAAATTTAACCATGATTTTACCAATTCTGGTATGCTTCATTTCTCCCTAAATTTGTTTCTTCCTAGAGTTAATTTCAATGTCTCAGGAATTCTCTATATATTTCTATTGCAAGGCTGCTTTTTATTTTTTTTTACTTATATATGTTTTTATGTTATTAAATATTTACTTAATTCTATTCTTTACCTCCCAGCTTTATAAAGGCTTAATTGAGAAATAAAAATTTCAATTTTTTTCTCCCATTCTGTAGGTTTTCTCTTCTCTCTGTTGATTATTTTCTTTGCTGTGGAGAAACTTTTTAGTTTGATATAATCCCATCTGTCTATTTTTGCTTTTGTTACTTTAAAGTCACATTAAAAAAATCATTGCACAAACCAATATCAAGAAGCTATGTTTTCTTATGGTAGTTTCACACCTTCAGGTCTTAACATTAAGCCTTTAATCTGTTTTGAGTTGATTTTTGTATGTAGTATAAGAGTCCAATCTCATTTTTCTGCATGTTAGCATTCAATTTTGCAAATACATTTTTTTTTCCTTTTTGTCTTTTTTACNGAGCGCCGCCACGCTCCCAAGCGGCGCACTCTCCAGTGCACCACCGGGCCGGCCCTAAATACATTTTTTTTTTGAAGACTGTGCTTTTCCCATTGTGCATTCCTTAAAACTTTGTCAGAAAGCAATTGACTTAAATGTGTTGATTTATTTATCTGCTATCTGTTCTGTTCCATTGGTTTATATGTCTGATTTTATGCCAGGACCATGATGTATTGATTACTATTGATTTGTAGTATATTTTGAAATCAGGTAGCCTGATGCCTACAGCTGTGTCCTTTTTGCTCATGATTACTTTGTCTGTTCAGGACAATTTAAACAAGGAGATAAAAGATATGTGCACTAAAAACTATAAAACATTGGTGAATGAAATTGAGAAAAGACAAAAAGTAAATGAAAAATCAAGCGATGTTCATGGTTTGGAAGAATTAATATTTTAAAAGTATCCATAGTACCCAAAGCAATCCACAGATTCAATGTAATCCTTATGATTTTTCACAATAATCAAAAAAGCACTCCTGAAATTCATATAGAACCACTTAACTTCATTCTTCAAAAAATTTTGCTAATGAAATCTTCAAAAAATTTTAGGATAATTTTTAAAAAATAGCCTTTTAAAATTATTATTTCATTTTCTTCTGGCTTTCTTCATTTCTATTGGTGAGAAAGCTGTAGGTATTTGTTCCTTGTTTTTTTTTTTTTTTTTCTTTTTTTTGGATTTCATTCTTTCTATGGTTTTACCAACTGCCTGCACACTAGTAAGATTCACATTTTTATTTCTTTTTTTTTTTTTTTTTTTTTTTCCTTTTTTGTCTTTTTTCGTGTCCGGCAACGGATCGCAACCCTCAGTTTTGCGCCCGTACCAGACTGGGACCGGCAACGGGATCACAACCCTCGGTGCTGCGCCCACACCTCGCTCAGCCAGTGAGCGGGAACCGGTCTGTATGTGGGATCCGAACCCTCGGCGGGAGCGCCACCGCACTCCCAAGCGGCGCACTGTAGCAGTGCGCCACCAGGCCGGCCCTGTTCCTTGTTTTTTGAAGGTAATGTCTTTCTCTTTTTTTTCCTATTTGATACTTTGAAGATTTTTATCTTGATTTTCGTTAGTCTTTTTTTAAAGGTATATCTATATGTGATTTTTCTTTGCCTTTATCCTGTTTGACTTACATAGAACTTCTTGATATTTTGTCATCAGTTTTGAAAAAATTTGCTCTGATTTTCATAAATTTTAAGCTTAGCTCCTTATGCACCTTCAACTTTTGTTTATTTTAACTTCTCAATATACATTGTAGTTGATTTTCGTGTCCCTTTACCCATTCCTCTTTCCCCCCTCCCGCTACCCCTCTCCCACTACATCTTATCTGTTCACTTGTCTTAACAAGGTAAGGAATTGTTGTTATTGTTGTATCTTCTTCCCCCTGCCCTTTATTTGTTTGTATATTTATTTATTTATTTTTAGCTCCCACAAATAAGTGAGAACATGTGGTATATCTCTTTCTGTGCCTCACTTGTTCCACTTAATATGATTTTCTCTAAGTCCATCCATGTTGTTGCAAGTGGTAGTATTTCATTCTTTTTTATGGCAGAGTAATATTCCATTGTGTAGATATACCAGAGTTTTGTTATCCACTCATCCGATGATGGACATTTGGGCTGATTCCAGCTCTTGGCTATTGTAAATAGT